TGGCGACGCCGCCCGCCGACCTGCCCTCCTGGACGCGGAGCCTGTGAGTGCCGCCCTTGGCGCCCTCGGGGGCTGTCAGCGGGGCGGGAAGGCGCGGGGCCGTGGCGGAGGGGGCGGCGGTGGGTTTACCCGGGAAGGGGGTGCAGGCTGGGTCATGGGGGCTTGGACGCGTTCGCGTGAGTGGCAGCCGTGGGGTCGTGCGTAGCGGGGGTGGGGTGGGGGGGGACCCGGGGAAGAGCGCGCGCGTCTGGGGCCTGGAGGGGAGCGGCCGGGGGTCGGGGCGGGGGTTGTGCCCTCGTGGGTGAGCGATCAGTGCACGTCAGTGTGAACGACAGTGCCTCTTGGTGTGGAGGTGAGCGAGCGTGCCCCGCGGGGGGTCAGGACGTGGGCGCTGGCGGGGTGGGCGGGTGCGAGGCCAGGGGTGAGGGGGTGAGTCGGTCTGCGGCGGAGGGGGGGCGTCTGGGTCGGGGTCTGTGGGGATGTGGTTCTCCCCACCCCCCCGTAATCCAACTCTTTGGTGTCTGAGCGCCTTGGTGTTCCAGTGGGTAATGAATGAAGGTGACTCTTGGCTGCAGTGTTCCACTTACATTATTTATTAGCGAGTGTGCGTGTAGCCGCCTCCCGAACCGAGGACCCGGAGGGTTTGGCTCTGGCTGGAGAGGAAGTCTCTCCTCCCCACCCCCAGACCCAAGAGGGTCTCGGGGCCGGGGGTCTTTGAGGGTTCTTCCAAACCTCGTGAGTGCTGGAGTTTTCTTTTTCCGCCCGCCTGGTTGGCATTTTAGGGAACTGTGTTCCAGACCCTTCCTGTCTGTTCCCTAGGGCCCCGTTGAGTTGAGCTGGGTGATCCAGTAAGGTGGGGCGCCCCTCGAGTTTCTCCTCCATAAATGGTGCAAATTAGTTTTGGACTAGTGCTGTTTCAGGGCAGGGTACCAGGGGGCTTGGCTGATTTTCCGCAAGTTTGTTTCACTGCAAAAAAGGCACTTTTGTGTGCTATCAGGACTTTGGCCTATTAGGAGTTAGTAGGACACTTGTTACCGAAGATTTGCTGGGGGGGGGGTCAAGAAAAAAATTACACTTACGTACACAGGGTGGAATAGAGTCGCCTCTTTTACTTCTAAAATATCTGGTCCGTGAGTCAAATCCTGTCTATCAGGAATGAACATCTCAGTAGAACTATCAGTACCTTCCAGAAAAAGGCCTGGCTTGAATAGTCCACTTCTCGGTTTAATTGGACATTTTTCCGAGAACATCGGAGAGGCACAGCAGTAACTCCAGGCATGACATTGGCGCCCCCCCCCCCTTTTTTTTAAAGTGAAAATTGGTGAGACAAGTTTTAACCAACACCTGTGGCTTGGTTGTAGAAAATGTTATCTGAATGTCTGGCTTGTGTAAGGAGAAGTTAATTCCTTTCAGATGTTAAGATCTTTTCTCAAAATGGACAAGTCTTAAGTTGCCCCTTGCACTGGACCACGGTGAGCTAGTACAGGTTTGGAAACTGGCTAGGACCTCTTGTATTCTCTCGTATCCACTTACGCTGTGGAATCCATCTACCTGGTAGGTTTTAACATAGGCAGAGGCTCTGTCTAGTACGGGGAGATGGGACCTCTATTTGTCTTAGGTAGGGTTTTATTTATTTGTGGCAGACTGGAAAGTTATTTTTTCCTTTACATACTTAGGTGTTTTTTGTTTTTAAATAGAACCACGTGAGTAGAATCAGATGCACTTCTCCAGGTTTCACCTGTTGGAAGAGTGACTTGCAGTGCTAGTGTCTGTGGCACTCTGGGGAAGGCACTTGGTTCTCAAGCTGTAACTTCCAGGAGAGGACAGAGTGTTCTCTCGTTTGCACTTTCTGATGATCAAAAGAACCACGTTGCCTTGCCCTTTTTTGGAGCAGAAAATACGAGTTGGTTTTTAGGCCTTCAGCTGCTTAGGAGTGATATTTCACACAGCTTAAATATCTTTTAACATTGTGGTCCTCTTTTACACACACTTCTAATGATCAATAAATGCCAAAGTAGGTATTTGAGCTTCAGCAAATTCAATATGTTAACCTGATTAGATCTTAAGATTGAAGCAGTGTGATTGCTGGTTATATGTGTACTGTACAAAACAGAGATCGTTTGAAAAATATTTGTGAAGTTTTATTTCTCATTATAGGGAAATCAAGCATGCTTTCCCCCCTAAGTTCCAGATCTCTCAATTTATACTCTCAGTTTTATTCTGAAATTTCCGTAAAAACATGGAAACACAAGATGCTTTTATTTTTGGCTACAACTCAGCAACACATGAGAGGAGAAAGTCTTCATATACAATATAATAAAATAACTCATATTTTCACCGAGTTTACACCCTCTAAGACCATTGTATCTAGAAAATGCTTTAACCTAGTTTATAAGCCCATGAACTAGATTTACTGCAGTCAGTTCAAACAGTTTCAGGCTGTGGGTTTGAGATAGCAGGGGACCTGTGGCTTTATGGGACTTTTTTTTCTTTTGTACATAGTGCATCTAATTTTGGAGCCTAGTCTGAGGAAAGTACAACTTTTTAAAGATGACTATAAATGTAGAGTGAATAGAGAAAAATGGATGATGCTGATAAAGGGGTGAATGGGCTCCTTCTAGGGACTGAGGATAACTTATTCTGCATAGTAACTTATAGTACTGGAGCCATCAATCACTTAGTCTCCCTCTCCTCCCCCCATTACGTAGGTGAGATTGGCATGGTCCAACAGCACATTCATAAATAGCACCACACACTGCCAAATCATATCCCAGCTTCCCAGAACCTTAGAAGAAGCTAAGCTTCTTAGAACTCAGATATTTGCTTTCTTTGAAATTATTACTATTATTATTTTTTGGGTCCGGTCGTGGGGCCTGAACTCTGGGTCTGGGTGCTATCCCTCAGCTCTTCAGCTCAAGGCTAGCACTCTACCACTTGAGCCACAGCGCCACTTCCGGCTTTTTATGTGGTGCTGAGGAATCGAACCCAGGGCCTCGAGCATGCAAGCAAAGTGCTCTACCACTGAGCCACCTTCCCAGCCCTGAAATTATTTTTTCAGAGTACAACTTTAGAAACTATTTAAGAAGGGCTGGGAAGGTGGCTCAGTGGTAGAGCGCTTGCCTTGCATGCCTGAGGCCCTGGGTTCGATTCCTCAGCACCACATAAAAAGCCGGAAGTGGCGCTGTGGCTCAAGTGGTAGAACGCTAGCCTTGAGCTGAAGAGCTGAGGGACAGCGCCCAGGCCCAGAGTTCAGGCCCCATGACCTGACCCCCCCCCCCAAAAAAAAAAGAAGGGACTTTTAAAAAAGGAGTGTGTTGATTTCTTTCCATACATTTGGTTACTGGATCTCAAAAAGGGCACTTTTGAGTATACCATTACTACACATGGAGTATACCAGCAGTTCCTGAGAACATCTTTAAAAAGATGAGGGAATTGAAGTGTTATGTAAGGAGACCTGGTTCCCGGTGGCTCTCCCTCTGCTCTCTCTCCATCCTCCCCCTCTATCCAGGGTTAATGACTTTTCCTGGGTTCCCTGCACAGCTTCCCTGACCAGTTGGGAAGGCCTCTGGCTGACCTCTCTCTCTTGCCCCCAGACACCATTCTCACAATGAAAGGGCCTCTCCCCCTTTCTGCAAGAGTGTCCTCTTGGCTCACAGTTTTTTCAGCTTCTTTTTCAGGGTAGGCAGGAATGCCCAAGAGAGCACCAGGGGTTTGTGTGAATGAATGCACCTGGCCCACTGTTGCACACCTGTGAAAGCCCTGAAGGAAGGAAGTTCTGGATGGAGACTGATGAAATAAAGTAGCCTATGGTGGTTTTAAAAGTGATGTCCACAGGTGATGAAAATCTAGAAACAGGAACCATTGAGCTGAAAGTTGCTGTAAGCAATAAAAGACGTTGGCTGTACCAGGTCTTTCTTTTTTTTTCTTTTTTTCATTTGTTTAAAACATAAAAGGGATTCCTCTGCCATACCCTATAGGTTGAAGAAACTTTTAAGTTTCATGAGCAAGCCTAATGTACAGCTCCTTTTGAATGAGCTTGGTGACATTTACTCACTGACTCCCCGGTCCCCCTCCTCAGTGACTGCAATTTGAAACCCTGGGGGTCTTTTAAAAGTGAGCAGGACTCTGGACTGTGTTAATATTCAGAGCTATTTACAATGGATGCAGTTTCAAAGGCTGAAGCCATTGTCTTGATACATGAGGGAGGAGGGGCTGAGGAACAAATTCCCAGGCAGAGGAGGGAAAATGTCTAAAAATCTCAGATGTTCTCTGGCCTGTGGAGGTTTAGGGACCATTGTAGATAGGTGTTTTTATGTAGGGGGTCTGTTCCTCTCCCTCTGGGATTCAGTTCTCGCTGTGCTTGTCTTTTGCTTTTGTTTCAAGTTCTGGAATCAGTGTGAAACTCAGATTTGTCCTAATCTCCTCTACTGAGAACTAGAGGAGATAAGAACTTTTTATAATAGTTTGACCTCTGGAACTTGCTTTTTTCTTTTTTTCTTTTTTTTTGGTATTTTTGTTTTGCCGAAGGAATTTTATAGGCCTCAACAGTTTTGGATAATAGTCCAGATTGACTAAATAATTGGTCATTTATATAGAGTCATATAGCTGGGGTCAAAATGTTTAAGTTTAAAGATTACAGAAAATAATGAAAATTGCAGTTTTTCACTGGTCAAAGTGAAAGTTGCCAATTTATGTCCTTTTGTTTTTGTGGGGGGAGGTGGTATGTATATGAGTTTTTTTCCCAAGTATTTCTATAGTGTTGAGTTTGTGTAATTTATCTCTTGTAGTTTTTATCCAAACACTGCATATTCTTTTGAACCACAGGTGATAACTTGATCTTTCATTCTGTTTTTAAAAAGTTATTATTTAAAAAGCCATTTCTTCATTTCCTTAGGTCTTATGATCCTTGTTTTCCCCCTTGAGTTCATTACACCCTATTAATAGTCTTTGTGCTGGCATGGAATCCTAGCACTTGGAATCCTAGCACTGGGAAGGCTGACAAAGAAATATCACTAGTTCAAGACCAGTCTAGGCTACATAGTG